TTTAGGAAAAAATTATCAAATTACAGTTTTGTCTAATGTGAATTTTATTTTTAAAGGGTAAAAAAGACGAACGACATTTCACTAAGGTTCTTTGTGCTTTTAATATAGTACTAGTCTTAGTTTACGCGCGTTGCGCGTGTACCCATCTCGATGAATAATTCTTTTATAAAACGAAATCAGATGATATTATATATATTAAAAATGTGTTTGTGTTTAAGGTGTAGAATAAAATTTTAAGCTTATAATATTTATTAATGTTGATTCTACATGGCTAACTCAATAAAAGAAGAAACTTTGTAACATAAAAGTCCTCAATCATCTTTCAATATGTTCAACTTAAACTTAATTTTTTCCCACGAGCAAAATGTCATCTCGTTCTATTTCTCCAGTCAATAATTAATATTATATGAATTATTTCTACTTTTATTTTTCTCTTGAAGAGCTTTCTTTCTCTATCCATGCACACAGTCATACATGTAAGGACTGTCAAGTATATAAATACCAAGTGCAACAAGTCCTGCATATATAGAAATAACTAAATGACGAATCCCATTTATTACATATCTTAACTAAGAGCATTCTTCGATATTCTTTTTTATGCAAAACATGATACCTATTGTTAATCTAACTTTACTTAAGATGTCATCAGAACACAATAGTATAAAAATAACTAAATAATATGAAGTTTAACTTCTACCAATTTCCCTCGGAAAGTTACTATTTCTGTATGTGGTTTGACACGATCGATGACTATATGATTTTAACACTTCTCATACCCAAATTATTTTATAATACCACTAACCATTTGAATTCATAAAATTGGATATTCAAAAGATGCAACGCAAAATTAATTTCTCATGTAAATACCTCTTAAGTTCATTAGAAATGCCTACTTATTTTTATTAAAGTATTTATCATTAAAATGTCTATGATAGACAGTGCCGATAGGAATAAAACAAAGACATGGAAACCCCCTGTTGAGTCCTTGGCGATACTTTTGATACTTGCATACGTGAATTATAGAAAATAAGGGTAAAACTATTACTAATATAAATTCTTTGTTCTCAAGGAAAGAGAAGTAAAAACTAAAAAGATAATGTTGGACATTTTAAGTTACAAATGCAATAACCCAAACAACTTTTGCAAAATTAGTAAAGAAGTCAGTTTTAAAGTGATGATTGTAAATAAGATATTGTTAACAAAAATCACAATTGACAACCTTTCAATTTGTAATTATGTTCAAGAATACACAAACGTTTATTATTATATAACTTCAAGAACAAAACTATTAATTAGAAAGTTTACCTCAAATTACAAGCAAATTGTCGATAATATCAATAGTGTTTGATAAAGCGTATAAAGTAAGAAAATTGTTTTGGTCCTAGAATTCTAGCACTATGCAAAATTTGTAAATAAGTCAATTTTAAACTGATGACCGTACATAAAATATTGTAACAAAAATCACAATTGACAATCTTTCAAGAATGCATAAGCGTTGTTATCAAATAGATTCAATTCTACTTCATCACAACTTTTAACCACAAAGGGACAAAGGGCCTCTCAAATATTTGCAAAAGATAAATGTGTTAGTCGAGGTTTGAACCTTTGACCTCTTAGAGCAAAATTAAGCACATATCCAACATAGCAAGACACAATTTATGTCAAGTGGTGTCATTTTTTCGTACTTATCTATTTTCATACATTATTAATACATATATTTAGTAAAAATGTTCGATGAAGCGGTGTTGCGTGATACCGCTTTGGTAAGCGTGCATCCGCCCCTGGTTGTTATTGCATAACTTTAAAAACAGACTATAGATTAGAAAGTTTACCTCAAATTACAAGCAAGTTGTTGATACTATCAAGAGTTTCCGTTAAAGAATATAGAGTACGCAAAATATTTTGGTCTTAAAGTGAATCCTAAACATAAACAAAGAAAAGACATAACATAAAAGAATTTTATACCTTCAAAAGCAATTCAACTTGCGGCAGTAATTAACATTGGCAATAAAAGAATCATAAATACAAGAAAAGTCTCACGTCAGTAATAAATAAATAAAGAAAAACCTAAAGAAACTTAAACCTAAATGAAAGCCAACGGCAATGAAGAAACATAATCCTAAACAAAGAAAAGCCTAAAAAAGCTTAAATCTAAACAAAAGAAATTGTGTAGCCGATAAAAATGGAAATAAACGACAATTTTTGTTTTTGGCATAAAAAAATATTAATGATTATAATTACAATTATACCCGGTGTAAAATACACTTGTGAAGGGTAAAAAAGACGAACAATATTTCGATAGGGGCTTCGTGCTTTTAATATAGTATAGATAGATAGATAGTAGGAGGGGTGTACAAAGAAAACAGACAAACCGCACCAACCCGATAATCTGAGTCAAACCGAGAAAAAAAATCTGACTATGGTTTGGTGTTGGAAAAAAAAAACTAGATCATAATTGGTTTGTTTTGGTTTTAACTAAAGAAAGTCAAACTGAAACCAAACCAACCCGACATTACACATATAGAAATTTTATATATATTTAATATATAAATATACTTATTGTAATGTAATTTATAAATAGTTCTTTAAAATTTTCATAATTTTATCTTTTAAGGTATTATTTCAAGGTTGAACTTAGAACATTTGAATGTTCCAATAAGTTTTATAGCCATTAATATTAGTAAATTAAAAATGCTAACAAAAGCTCAAACCAAAATTAAATTAATACTAATGCTAACAAAAGACATTCAATTCAATACTACGAACGGGAATGTATTGAATATCTATTTTTTTATTTTGCAATAATTTAGATAACTAAAATGCATAACCTATTTTTATTTTTTCTTTAGTGTTTAGTCATGTAATTAATACTCCCTAATTAGTCTATTTATTTTAGCATGCCTTAGTACTTTCAAATTATGTTTATTTTTATTATGGCTTTTTAATTAGCAATATTTATATTACATAATTTTATTGTCTTTATTGTTGAATATTTTAGGATAATGTCATGACACATCTCATATTTTGTATTGTTTTCTTGGAAAATACTTTATATAGTTGTATTTTACTAGGATTAAAGAAATATTTTGAGCATAATTTATATGTTTTATTCTACGAAGATTTTACCGGAAAAAAATTCGAATAACCCGAAAACTCGAGAAAACCCGAGAGTGAAAAATTTGAGTTTTATTGGTTTGGTTTGATCTTTAAATTTAATAACCCGATACAATTGATTTGATTTAATAATTGTAAAATCCGAACTAACCCGACCTATGTACATCCTAATAGATAGATAGATAGACAGACAGACAGACAGACAAACAGATAGATAGACAGACAGAACATAGATATTACTTTTAATCGCCGTTTCTCTAGCTTTACTTATTTTTTAAGTATTACTATCAGAGGCTGCATGAGAGGGACATCGTTGTCTTATTGCCTAATTTGATAAATAATTAGAAAATCTTCTTTGTGATTGTAATAAATAGGAGCGTATATGGATCGGGTTAGTTGAGTTTTTATCAAACCAAATCAAATTAATTATATCGGTTTGAATTGGTTGGGGTTTGTCAGGTTTTTCTATTTTTTAATTTTTTGTTACATGAATATTATTTCAATTTTATTTTATTAAAATTATAAATAAAATTTTGATAAGTGAATATATGTTTAGTAAAAATTTAAAAAGTTAACAAACATATGATCCATTTAAATACTCTTATGGGAGATTTTTCTTAGAAACGTGTGATAGTTATTTCTTAGTTGTCTAACAATAATTTTTCGTTGATGTACGCTTTCAAGGTTAACCGAATTTAATAATTAAACATAAAAATCAATATGGTACCTAAATAATGATATGTCCTATTTAATTCTAAATTATCGAAATACCATTTTTAATTCGAAAAAGATATAAGAAATCTTGACATATGAATATGGACAAACTTGACTCATTTCAATAACACTTGATAAGAAAGTGATACAACCTACTATTATTTAAAGTAAATAAAAATGAATGCACTTTATAGTTATATCCCAAATATTTCTACATATTTTTAAAGAAAATTCTATATTAAGTCTTAAAAGTATATGAATAAATTATATATTGGTTTGATTCGATTTTTTTATTCAATATCAAACAAATCAAACCAAACCTAATCAAAAATTTTAATCGGTTTGGTTTGACTTTTCAATTTGGTGCATTTTTCCCGTTTGATTTGAACACCCTAATAAAAATATTATACAAAACGCGAGAGGGAAATATAATTTTGCACAAATATTAGATTAATGTACGTGATTATATTTTTCATGCTCAAATTTTCCATTTAGGAGGGTAGATGAACCTGATACCAAAATAACTGGTACCCAAATCAAACAAAGAAAGTGTAATTAATATGTTGTTTGCAATCATTAGAATTTTAGCGAAGTATAATCAAAGACTATATGCAAGTTTAAAGGCGCAAAACGGTTATTTAACCTCGGCAATTAATCCATAGACTACATGGTCGCCAAAGAAGCCTCAAGAAGCATTAAACATTTCTGATAAGATTCATGTAAATTGATGTAGTATATTCATATCATAATAATCAATAGAAAAAATTAGCACTCTTAGTCTTTTTGTGTAATTCTAAATATGAAGTAAGTTTTCCTATCTTATTGGTAAAATTGGATATTCGAAATTCAATATATTCTCTCTTTTCTTCTTGAGAAAAAACAGAAATGACAAAACAATTTAGTATAAAAGAATTTTTCATTTCTTTATTTTATATATAAATTTTATCGACCAGTAATAATAATGCCAATAATTTAAAGGTGGTACCATAATTTTCTTTAACTAACCAAATGGGCAGAATATTTTTTTTGGAAAAAATTATTTATTATTTATGTGTTGTTAAATAACTAACTTTCCATCCTCTTCCCTCTTCCTTTTGTGAACCAAACATTATTATTATTAACATAATGCCTACATAAATCAGGAGGAAAAAACCACAGATTGCTCAGATATACAATAAATTCAATTTCCTCTGCTCTCACAATAAAAACATGTCATACACAATAATAATAATCTCTTCCTTCCAAAAAAAAAGGAAACTCGGAGAGACCAAAGCTTTGATCAGATGGCGAAGTTCCCTTCAATTCCCCATGTGCAAGGTAATTAAAACAGTACTATGTAAAAGGAACAAAAATTGGATTTTTCATGTCTGCGAAAATCTCATTATCCTTAAAAAGGTCATCTTTTGGATCATCAAGATTAACTGTTTTTTTTTCTGGGGTTTCTAAAATTTGCTTGAATTTGATGATCTTTATATTGGTTTTGCTGAGGATAGAATTTTTGGGGTTTTGCCAATTATCGTATTTGCTCCTTGTTGTAATATGTAAAACACTCGGTTCAGTTCCCATTATCAAGTTTCAGTATTGAATTGTGAAAATCTTAGCAGCTAATTTGGTTTGTTTTTATTGACGGTTTAACAACAACAACTACTGCTATGCCTCAATTCAAACTAGTTGGGTTTCAATTCATCAAAAGGAATTTATTTATATTGTATTTTTGGCTGAAAATTTGCATTGTTGCATGGTCATAGCTTAAATTTGCATTGTGGAGTTGTCATACGACCCAGAAAGAAATATCTAGGCGGCCCTTTTTAATCGGAATATTGCTGAATGTAATTTGAAGTTTCTAGAGAAAAGATTCTTATTATGTTTAGCTCACCTTGTCGGTACTTGGTAGGAAAATTGTGATTCAAATTTTGATAAATGTAGGTTTCTAATCGTTTCATTCATTTCTAACTCCTAAGGGAAGAAAATATCAGCAGTAGATGTGAGAAGGGGGCAATAAAAAAGGAGTCTTTTGCTATTTGATAATGTATTTAAGTTTTACTTGGACCATCTTTAGGCATAACACGATAGTGATCTAACTGTTAAAAATTTTCCCAAGAAAATAATAATCGTAAAGTTTTGTACAGGAACTTAATAGCAGTTAATGGATGTCATCAAGGATGGTATAGTATAGTGATTCTTGCAGGAGTTTTAATGAATGTCAATCAACGATGCTGTAGTTAAGCTATACCTTCTTTCTTTTGTCCCACAGAGACTGGGCATAGGCGTGTGACAGTACATAGCAGCCACGGTGAAGAACTTGTGGGTGTGCTACATGAAACAAATTCCCTGGAGCTTGTAATTATCTGCCATGGCTTCAAGTCATCGAAGGTTTGTTACAATAATTAGAACATGTATGAGTAACAGCTCCTATATGGCTTACTCATATTGTCATTTGTCTGATTTTTGCTTAGATATTCTTCTTGGTTGATATATCTGTTTTGGTGATCCCCTATAAAATATTGCTTTTGCCACAGGAACATGCATGCTTAGCTTGAATTTGGTATTAAATTCTTTTAGGAACTTCTTTTTGCTATAACTGAGTGTAATTTTTTTCTGAGAAAATTGTTCTCTCGCTTCTATGTCTGTCCTCCCCCCCACCCCCACACCCACCCCAAAGCACTCCACCTCTTCCACCTAGAAAGAACAAAGAAAAGAAAGTTTAAAGAAAAGAAAGTTTATCTTTACATTTTTATCTCGCTACCTGGGAGCATTTTGAAACTAAATGGCTGCTTTCAATGTCTGAATACTCTCATGATAACTTCTGTCCTTCCTTGGAGAACATCTGAATTGCATTCTAGGAAATATGTAATGTATCAGTGCATCTACTTGTCCTTGTATATGCCACTACTCCTATTGACTGCTGTATTATGTTTTAGTATTGTCGAATCTAGTTTGCGCAGATGCTTCCTTTCTATCTAAAAAGATGTGTTTATTGCTTTATTTCCTAAGATGAAAATTCATCTTGGAGAATCTGCTTGAGACTGGACATACGGGCAAAGGCCTAAATGGGTTGAATATTTTGCCTTCTACATTATTATGTGATTCAGTCCAGCAAGATCCAACTTTTTTGCTGAGTTGACTAGTAGTCTTATTTATTAATTTTGCTTTAACTTCAGGATCGGATTCCTATGGCGAATCTTGCTGCTGCTTTAGAGAAAGAAGGAATCAGTGCCTTCCGCTTTGACTTTGCAGGAAATGGGTATGTTCGAATACTAAAACCAATATATGAACCTCTAGGTTACCAAAATAAGTGCAAAAGGAGGGCAAGCAGTGAACTTTATTCTCCTCCTACTCTTGATCTGCCAACTTAGATTCACTCAATGTAGAAATGATTATTGAATAAAGATGCATCCCATCTCTCCTTTTTAGAAAGCTGAGGAAAATCTACTGGGTGTGTCTGTTCTTATAAACGTAAATATTTGTTAGGCTATTGAGGAACTAAATGTATATGCATCTGGATTGCTGCTGCATAAGCATATTGACCCAAAATACATTTATTTAACTTTCATACAATTTTTTCTCTCTTTTTGTCTTCTCCTTTTCGCATGCAAGTAATGTGAGCTGCTCAATTACTTTGCCCATATAGTTTTGTGAAAGATACACTATATTGGTCTTCAAGTAGCGTAGTTGATCCTTTTAACTTTAATCACAACTAGCTCTTTCCAGCTTGTTAAATTGGAATCTTAGAGATAGAGTGCGGTCACATGAGTCTTCTCTTCAATTATTCTTAGGATCTTGACTTGACTTATGTTACTCATAGCATTATATTCTCTATATAGAGATGATAAATTTCAAATTTATAAATTTTATGAAGACAGGAAAAAACAATTGAAATGAACTACTGAAGATTCACTTTATTTTTGGTGTCAGTGAAAGCGAAGGCTCCTTTCAGTATGGTAACTACCGTAGAGAAGCTGATGATCTTCGTGCCGTAGTTGAGCACTTTCATGAGGAGAAACGTTTCATAGCAGCAATAGTTGGTCATAGCAAAGGTATAACCTTTGAAAGCCAATTTATGTGTGATCTTGTGAATCTACACTGTGTTTCTCCTTCCCTTTCCCCCGTTTCTAGTTCTCTAGCTCAAGGGGTGTGAGAGGTGGTGTTTGGAGGATGACAATACCATATACTGGCACAGTACGTGCAGTCTACTAACATATGTTTTCCTGGAGTAGTAGAAATCTTAGTTTTGCTGTTGTTTGATTTGAGTCATTGAGAGATTGAGGTTTTCTTGCGACATTACTGCTTATCATGCTTGAAGCTTACAGATGATATTTATATTTTGTCCTTGCAATTTTTCTTCAATCTGCTGCTTTGTCTTTTGGTTTAGGGAGAGGCTGTAACTAATTATGCAGTGCATGAAGACTAAAGGGATACCCTTTCTTTTGGTAGTAGGTTAATTTTGCTCATTACATCATCTGCAAGCATTGGCTTGATTTGAGAATTTTATATGTTTGAAACTCAACCTTCCAATGTGAGCTTTTCAAATATTGAAGAAGGATTTCATATCTAAGTAAATGTTTCTCTGTTAGAATCAAATTATGATCACTGATTTAGCAATTCCGAATTTATCTTTATTTTTATTTAAATTTAACTTTGAAAATAACAGTAGATGTTGACAACCCACATGTTTTAGCCAGCATTATATGGTCCTGCTAACCATTGATGTCTATGATGATAGTTTCTCTTGTCCATATTCTACATAATTTGTTATCGGTAAGAGTTGCACGAATACTTTGAGTTGTCATGATAGTGCTCTATTGATCTCTCAGGCCACATTCAAATTAACAAGGAAAGAGAGTATCGTATTTTCCCACAATTTGCCTCGTATCCGCTCTTTGTATAATCAGCACATTCTACAGCTTAATTTAGATTCAATAACCATATCTCGAGCTTATATCTCTGCAAATTGTATCGCCGCGAAAGTTCCTGCTGAAAGTGTGTTTTTCGCAATAAATTACCTACAGGAGGAAATGCTGTGCTCTTGTATGCTTCGAGGTACAAGGATGTACAAACTGTCATTAATATATCTGGCCGCTTCAATCTTGAGAGAGGGATAGAGGGCCGCTTGGGCAGAGACTTTAAAGAAAAGATAAAGCAGGATGGTTTTATTGATGTTATAAATAGAAAAGGTATGCTTAACAGCCTTCTTTTCCGTTTGTGCTTCATAATCGACATATTTCTCTCCCATTTTGGGCTGGATGTTCTTTAGTCTGGAACATTGGATGTTGCACACTTCTATGCATTTCAATGGATAATAGTAAATTAAACCACCTAGGGAGGTAGCGGACATGGTTAGATGACGTGTCTCACATGGTGTGGCTGGTTTAGCTGATGGAAATCACTTCGGAATATGGTACAGCTGATTAGACAAGACATGGGCGGCAAATGTGAGGTGCAGCACAAGTTTGGTTGATGAGCATGACATAGTGCTATGCTTGAATAAACAACTTGCAACGATCACAAGTGTGGTTGTGCGCAACGGCAAGTGCATGCTTATCGGGCTGGGCAGGCGCAAAGCAGTGGTGTGCCCATTTGCCAAGCTTGCTTGTGGGTCATGCGCAGGGTATGCTGGTCCATGTGCGTATCACAGGCACATATTCAATCAGGTGTAGCATTAGAATCTGAATTAGAAGGACTTCGAGTATGAAAGTAGTGTGATGATGCTACGCCACTAACTAGTTTTGGCCTGCCAGTTGCATTATCCTTGTGGTGGCTTGCCTTTAATTGTGTACTTGGAAAAATTGGGGGTGCTTTGCAATGGAAGTATGCACCTTGTAAGAGACAAACTTTCCTTTTTGATGGCAAACAATTTCATTAATAAAACACCAAAATGTTGCAAATAGGATGTAGGAGATGCGTGCATGACTCAACCAGAATCAACCATAATGATCCATCAAGTTTGTCCAGCTATCTGTACAATATTCTATTCTCTCCTTTACACCGAAAATACTCTTTTAAAGCTTTCTGCATTGTTCTTGCAATTTTACAGTCTTCTATTTCTTTCGTTCTATGTGCACCAAAACAGGAGAGGAGGCAAGTTGCCTTCAGTTGTTAACCCTCCACCCTGCCATCTCTTGATATTTGCAGGAAGGTTAGAGTATCGTGTCACTGAGGAAAGCTTGATGGACCGTCTTACAACTGATACTCGTGGAGCATGTCTAAGTATCCCCCAAAGCTGCAGGTCGGGCATTGATATTGATTATAACTGAGTGATTCTTAAGCAATCATGTCATATCTCACTGTATGATACATCCTTTTCAACAGTTGGGCGTTAATTCGTTGTCTCATGTCTGTGCACATTATGTGCATGTCTCACTGTGACGCTACTTCTCTTGTGAGGCAATTTTTTGTTTAAAACTTGACAACTGTGTACTAAACCTGCTGGATTAATATACAGGGTGTTGACAATCCATGGTACAATGGACGAAATGGTGCCAGTTGAAGATGCAATGGAATTTGCCAAGAATGTGCCAAATCATAAATTGCACATTATCGAAGGAGCTGATCATGAATTCACCATGCATCAAGATGAGTTGGCTTCACTTGTGGTGGCTTTTGTGAAAGAGGGTCTATGTGGAGACTACATGGCTCTGCCATCTGAGTCATGCAAAAGAACAAGTGGATATATACATTCACGATTCTGATCGATATCCTTTGCTGTATACAGTGTACCATTTACCGACAACACCAAGTAGACAGTAGAATAGGCTTGTAAGTGAGCATAGGCCCTGCTGTGACCTTTTATCTCATCACTAATGAAAGAAAGTTTTGACGGACTGAATGCCAAAACTCAGTTCAAAATGAGAATTGCAGGACCTGTTAGTAGTATTTGAGAATGTATAGATACTGCATATAATTGGGAAGAAAACAAGAAAAGTTTATGGTAATAGAATTAGGTTCTTTTTGTCTCTGTTTTTCCTGGGAAGAAGCACGTTTCAACATCCTTTGAATTACTGTAGAATTTCATATCAAAGATGGTGAACATTGATTTATGCATGTAGCTAAATATGCGTTTAAATTGCTTTTTGTTCATTTTCTGTGGTGATGTGAAAGTCAGAGCAGCACAGATTATACTGAATTTCTGTTATGCAACTTTTTGCTTAGTTTCCGGCATTAATACAGTCAAAAGGCTTCACAAGAAGGTCCTAGTCATCTCATGAGTTCAGCATTTTAGGCAAGTCAAAAAAAAATTTGACTTCTTTGCTTGAACATTTTTATTTTACCTCATTCATCTCCAAACCTAAGACAATGTCCTCAGGAATTTTTAGACTATAGGAAACTTCTCTCTTCAGTCGCTATGCAAGCCAAAAAGTTACTGGATACATCTGCCAAAATGACAAATTAACGATATGGGATGATTGGGAGCAAGTCTATGTAGCCAAAACTAACTTGGACAAGTAATTCATGATCCCAAAGTTTGCATATAAAAAGTTTTGAGTCTTGAAACTGGTCATCAAAACCCCAAGCATTTGGTCGTAAAATTTTTACACCCACAACTCTACCAGCTCCAAATACAAAAAATACTTTCACTAAAACTCGAACCCAAGAAGGCGTGATGGGTTATAAAAATACTATAGCTCCTATTCAAATGACAGATGGAAACTCTTAGCCTCTCGTCTTTATAGTTTGTCTTAGTGATTTATGCTGCAACAGTCTTTGGCTTCGCCCCAATTTTTTTCCAAGAAACACTAGGCATTATCTGCTTTGTATCGACACGATCCTTATATTGAACAGCAAAGTTCAGTAGTGAGTCAAGAAGAGAATCAGAAAGGAGGTGGGGTTGTAGGCCCAGCTCAATTAGTTTAGTATGTTTGGCATTGTAGTAGTGTTCCTCTGCCTCTACTCTTGGATTGGGTACCGATATGGTCTTCACCTCAAGGCCAAGCTTTTCCCCTGCTTTTGTGACAAGGGCTGCAAGCTCATTTACCGAAAACTGCTCTGTGAATTGATTGAAAACACGGAACTCTCCTGGGTTTGCTGGATTGGCAATTGCAATCTCAACACATTGAACTGTATCTCTAATATCTAAATATCCCCTGGTCTGCAAGACGCAAAAACATACATTAGAAAAGCCAGGAATACTATGAAATGGTTACTGACTTATCGGTCAGGAGGTAATTGGTCAAGACACTCACGAAATAAATACAAACAGTAAGCGTGTCAATGAATAAAGAAAATCAAGCCTCAATTTTCTTTCTGATCCAAAATAAGGAAGCCAAATTTCACCTTTTATCATTTTCCTAGTGACCAGACTGGCTCCTTCTTTCCACTTTTTGTTTTCCAGGATAATTGTGTTAGATACATTATATGAAGTGAGGTCAGTCAATTCTTGACAGTTTCCATTCCCAGCAACAATCTTCAATTTTACAGAAGCATCCCTGGTTTTTGCTATTTGAATTAAAAAAGCAAGAGGAAGGTAGGATATGTCAGCTTGTATTTAGCATCCAGGGCAGAAGCAGTCGGGGACTCGGGGCAGACTGTATGCAAAATAGGTCTACAGTTCAGCATTTTTTTTTGGATAAGGTAAATAGGTCTGCAGTTCAGCATTTTTTTTTTTGTGGATAAGGTAAATAGGTCTACAGTTCAGCATTTTGAGCATTTCCTATATAGAACGTTTCTCAGTCCCTATATCCTTATCATACACTAGTCTTCGGCAATGAACAAATGACTAGCTACTTAGCTCTCTTTAGATGAGATCATGACAAAGCAGTCTGTACAGATCATGTCACTGATTATCGAAGTTCACCCCGTTTATGGTCCAAAGAACAATTCTTTTGTAAGTTGGTCTTACAGAGCAATTACAAAAGCATGAGAGATGGATTAGCAATTTACATCAACTGAACATTTTGTGATCCATTTTCAAAGTAGATCTTTTATTTCTGCATTTGAAGAGAGCTAGAAAAGAAATTTCATTTGAGGATCTGAGTAAAGAGCTCAAGATTTCTTCAATAGTATTAGTTGGTTATTCGTTAAAACGTAGTACTACATGGAATGAGAGGAAGTTCGTACCTGCCCTCCTTTACCATATACTGTAAGTGGATGGCCAACAGCAGCCTGAACACAGAACCGATTTAATGCAGTTCCAAATACAGCATCATAATCAAGTCTGTTGACCAGATCTTCATGCATTGCAGTTTCGTCAGTCCTCACCCCATATACAACTCCCTGGTTCAGGTCGGTAGCTCTGATTCCCCACGCCTTGCAAGTAAAAGCTATGTTGTGGGAATCATGGACTTTACTCAAATGATAGAAAGAGCTTGCTTGTTTGGGATAAGGAAGAGTATCTGTTCTTCCATTATGAGTGATAGTTATAAAACCTTCTTCAATATCTATGTTAGGGGTCCCGTATTCTCCCATTGTCCCGAGTTTGACCAAATGACACTCTTCCCTAAACTCCTTTATGGCAAAAAGTACATTAAGTGTCCCTATCACGTTATTATGTTGGGTAAAAACAGCTCTCGACCGATCAATCATAGAATAAGGAGCAGAACGCTGCTCTCCAAAGTGGACAACAGCATCAGGTTCAAAGGATTTGAAGGCTTCTGCCAAGAAATCAAAGTCACATATATCACCAACAAACAGTTGGATGTCTTTTCCTGTCAGAGATTTCCAACGCCTAATGCGGTTATGGATAGATGAGATGGGTGTTAGAGAATCTAGACCAAGCTGGTGGTCAAATAGGCGACGAATAAGGTTGTCAACAATGGAAACTTCATAACCCTTGTTGGATAGGTGGAGAGCAGTAGCCCAGCCACAATAGCCATCACCACCAATGACCATGACCTTTTTTCTAGTGGAGGCTCCATCAGTGCTCTGTTGAGAGCCAGAGTCATTCTGAGTTTTGGCTTCTTGGCTCATAGAAACAGCTGAAGCCCTGACCACATACTGTGCAGACTTTTTCCTTTGCAAGCTTAGCTTTTTCAATGGTGAGAAGGAAATTCCCATATTAAAAGAAATTGGAATAGGAGTAGAACATTGGTTAATTGACTTGAAATGCAGCTTGTTGCTGGAAGAGACATCTAAATAACAAGTGGTAGAAAGTAAATGGGCCATGATAACCGCCTCGACTTGAGCCAACCAACTTTCTCAAACCTGCAGAACTAAGAAATAAAGAATCAGAGCAGAATATAGACTCCACTACTTTGTCTAGGAGGAACAAGAAAAATGGAAAAAGAACTAGCCAAAGTGCAAGAAGAAAAAATATTTTTTGATGATCGAGAAAACGCCTGAGAGTTAGCAAAATATTTTTGATGATCGAGAAAAAGCCTGAGAGTTAGCGCATCCAACCCACAAGAGGATGCACACAGCATCTGGCATCTGGAAACTATCGCTGATGTAATATTAGCCAGGATCACTACTTGAAAAGGTAAAGTTGCTTAATTGAAAAGATTTAAAAACACAGATATTGTTTGATTAAAATCATGATGACACTTACACCACTAATTGGGATCCTTAGCACGAACAGCTCCAAAAGACATGTCAGAATTCTACATCTGTTTGTAGATTGTAATCTCCTTATATTTTCTTGGAAAATCCTCACCATTTGAGTTAGTATTTGGAGTTTAGTTAGGTCCAAGGTACATTTTCTTAACAAGATCAAAGGCCAAAAAGCATTGTTAAACATATTAAGTCCAGCATCACAAGAATGTGCAACTAGAACCAAGCAAAGGATCCTGATGTAATACAACTTCAGAGTGCAAGTAGACTGGAAACATGAGTTGGTTTTTCCAGTATCATAGCAAAAGCACTATTGCAAAAAAATAGTTAAGTGAAACGACAACCTTCTTTCATAAAAATAAGGATAAGGTCAGTTACACCATCACAGGGGTAATGCAGTAGTTACTTTTAGACCAAAGACCAAAATGGCAAAACCAAATTATCTTTTTGTCAATGATGGATTGTGTGCCACAGAATGCTCGAATAACCAAAGACGTTGCGGATACAGACATAAACTCTCCTCCCACTTAGTCTATTCCAGAAATCTTCCTTATCTGATACATCATACATGTTGACACTATTTAGTCAAACCTCAACCCCAAAACAAAATCACTCTATCTTCTAGTTCATCAGCAGCCAGCAACTAAAAAGCTCTAGCTTTTGGGATTTAATTATAGTTAATCCTATCTATAAGCCCATAATTACTCAAACCAAGCAAGTGCACAACACTCTAAGCCAGTAGTAATAACAACACTAACTTCTACTACCAATATGATGACAAGTTAACCATTTAATTGGTGTGCTTCTACTTAATCACCCCTCTCTTCCCCCGTCCAAAAATAAAATTTTAAAAAATGAAACACCTTATCTACAAAAATCTGATATGCAGTTCATTTATGAGGCAATATCAAGATTTTGACTTTGATAGACAAGAAACTAGAACAGAAAAAAACCCAGTTGATTACACAAGACAAACACATAAAAGGTTCCAAAAAATTCAAAGACGCAAACTTTTGAAACTAAAAGGGTCACCAAATGCAGAAGCAACTTCTAAAATTAAAAGGGTCATAACAATTTTCAAAGAAGCAACTTGTAATACTAAAAGGGTTACCAAAAAAGCAACTACTGAAACTAAAAGGGTCACCTTGAGAATAGGGCGATGCTTGCTAGAGATAGAATTGGCAGAGAGAAAGAGGTATCCTTAGCTAAGTTTTAGCTAAGATTTTCATTTGTCTGGGGAAGCATCATGGTTTTAGTTGAGGGGATATTCTTTAGAGTACATCACTACATCCCACGATTATTGATGGTAAAATTACAAAGTTGTCCCCTCACAAGTCACTGTGGGTTCCGTTGTAGCAACAAAATATAGGTAAACGTCCAACATTTGATGGTTTACTAAGCTTCATTTTTCACAACAAAACCTAGCAAATTACAATATTTGACCATAGATTGCTAGTATTTGTAGCAATAACCTAAACATTATTATTCATTTACGGACAACTTTTATTCCAAAAGTTAGGAGCATTATGTTGGTTTTTGGTGAATAATTACACTT